CCCCCCCCCCGCCCCCAAGAGAAAAGAGAAAGAGAGTACTACCCGGCCTCCAAACTCAGACACGAGAAATACCTAAGAGGGAAAGACTGGCAAAGCAAGCTGGGCTGAGAGTGAAACCAAGGATACCGCCTTTAGCATCTTCAGAACAGCATCAGTGCCAGGGCGCAGGACAGTAGATTTACTACTTACGAGGGTGTCAGCACCTGAGGTTGGGAGTAGACCATCCTGCAGCACAAAACACCATCGCAGGGATTTGCATGAGGACTCTGGCAGCTGCAGCTCTGAGGCAGGGCTCCCGCCCCTGGTCAGCACCCCCCATCCTAGTGCCTCTGGGTGGGACTGAAGCTCAGAGTCTCTCACTCAGCCTTAGTAGACCCTCAGAGGAGCTCAGTGAAGCCTGGCACACTGCTTGCACCTGGGCTCAAGGTTGGGGAAGGGAACCTAGGTCAAGTTTTAACTCACTGTGGGGCGAGGAGGAGGAATGTGGCCTCGGTCCCTGGTCCGTCCCAGGGAAGCCCTCAGGTTCACAGACCATCCATCCCACCTGGGCCTGAAACCTGCTCTGCCCTCCAGCCAGTGATTGCAAAGCCCAGTCTTCCAGTGTGGGAAGTGGGAAGGTGACATCTGCACCCCATGGTTGTCACAGGGCCAGCCCCAGCAGTGGCACCAAGCACTGTCGGTCCTGCAGTGCTGCAGAGCCTGGGACATTTCCAACCATCAATAATGGCTGCACACCCAGCATGGTGGCTTATGCCTCTGGGAGACCAAAGTGGGTGGATTGCTTGAGCTCAGGAGTTTGAGACCAACCTCAGCAAAAGCAAGACTATCTCTTCTAAAAATAGAAAGAAAAAAAAAAAAAACAACTAAGTGAGCACTGGGGTGGGCACCTATGGTCTCAGCTCCTTGCAAGGCCGAGGCAAGAGGATCGCTTGAGCCTGGGAATTTGAGGTTGCTGTGAGCTATGATGATGCCACATATTCTGCCCACAGCATGGAGTGAGACTGTCCCAAAAATTAAAAAAAAAAAAAATGGCTGCACTTTTAATGTCCTATGATGGTGTTTCAAACCAGGGAGTCAGCCTTGAAAAGGACACGGCTACAACAGGGATGAAGTGAGGACTCTAAGCTCAGGTGGCTGGAGAAGTCCCACTCCCAGCACTATGCCCTGGAGCAGAGCTGCCAGCGTCTTGGAGGAATGGAGTTAGTGCTCCGCAGGGACTGAGCGTCCCTTCTGTAGGACCAGGAGGGCTCTGAGGTGACATGGTGATGCTGCCTGACAGTGTGATGTCCCCCACGCCACTGAACAAAGTCAGAGCA